TTGGCGGGAAGGGGAACGGGGTGGGTGGCTCCGCCTCTCTCGGGGATGTGGGCGGTTTCTCCACTGTGACGTCACAGGGCGTGAAGCGGGGCCAGGCCTCTCGGGGAGTGCAGGCCCGCCCGTGTGCCGCCTTGGGGGAGCCGGGCTCCTGCCGCTTGCCCTTGCTGCGGCTTCCCGTGGGAGGGAAGGAGGAGAGTGACTAAAGTACAGGGGGTTTTCTTCCAGATTAAAATGCAGATCTTTGTGAAGACCCTGACCGGCAAGACCATCACCCTCGAGGTTGAGCCCAGTGACACCATTGAGAACGTGAAGGCCAAGATCCAGGACAAGGAAGGCATTCCCCCCGATCAGCAGAGGCTGATCTTTGCAGGCAAGCAGCTGGAAGATGGGCGCACCCTGTCCGACTACAACATCCAGAAGGAATCCACCTTGCATCTTGTGCTGCGCCTGAGAGGTGGCATGCAGATCTTTGTGAAGACCCTGACAGGCAAGACCATCACCTTGGAGGTTGAGCCCAGTGACACCATTGAGAATGTCAAGGCCAAGATCCAGGACAAGGAAGGCATTCCCCCCGATCAGCAGAGGCTGATCTTTGCAGGCAAGCAGCTGGAAGATGGGCGCACCTTGTCCGACTACAACATCCAGAAAGAGTCTACTCTGCATCTTGTGCTGCGCCTGAGAGGTGGCATGCAGATCTTTGTGAAGACCCTGACAGGCAAGACCATCACCTTGGAGGTTGAGCCCAGTGACACCATTGAGAACGTGAAAGCTAAGATCCAGGACAAGGAAGGCATTCCCCCCGATCAGCAGAGGCTGATCTTTGCAGGCAAGCAGCTGGAAGATGGGCGCACCCTGTCCGACTACAACATCCAGAAGGAATCCACCTTGCATCTTGTGCTGCGTCTGAGGGGTGGTAACTGAACTGTCTGGTTGTTGCGTGCTTCCAAGTAAAAGTTTCTCTGCACTTGTTCATTCCAATAAAGCTGTTGCATCCACAGAAGTCCATGTCTCAAGTTCTGTGAACAGCTATTTATGCCATTAACCAAATGTAGATTTCTAATAAACAATAATTACATGACTTCCATATACAAAGGTATTACAAAACTGCCTTATGCAAGGCTTACCACATGCCTGGCAAGCATAACTAATCCTTCAGGTGTGGTTTTCCTGAGGTTGTGTAAGTGTTCTCGGAGCTAGCTGAAGCACTGGCTGAAGTTCAGTGCCAGTCTGCAGATGTTATGCAGCTGTTGTGGTTGTGTAAGCATGCATATGCAATGTGAAACTGCAATTGTTTTTGAGTTGGGAGGCTTTGATGATACTACTTTGCCCAGTAACTGCCAGGTCCAGCCCCCGGTGTTTTTGCATTAATGGAGTAACAGCGAAAGGGTAATGCCAGAGTTCCACCAACAGCCAGCAGCCTGCTCTGACAGCGGTGGAACGTCACTGCTGATCCCGCGGCCCTTGGACCAGGGCCTTGACAAGTCTTCTGGCTACTGTGAGTCCCTCATCCAGTTACGGGGTAGACAATTTTTAAAAAAGCTTAGGCATATTAAGTGAACTTTGTAGTTTCCGGTGTACTAGCTTGTTTAGAATCTTAGGGAATGTGCTTTCATTCTGGCTGTGCATTAAGTGGAAATACTACAGTGTAAATGAGCTGGAATGTCATGGAGCAGTTCCCATGTGCTGTAAAAACACTTGGCAAAAGAGAAATCTCCTCTGAAGTGTTTTGTGGTGAACTGGAGGTTGCTGAATGTAGGAGCTCATGAGTAGTTAACCATGTTGCACTGGGGATCAGGAGATGTGAAAAGGGGAGGCTGAAAAGTAAAAAACCAAACCCACCCTTTAGAAGAGTGGTAAAGTGACCTATCTTTGGAAGGGGAGGTGCTGGGAGTTGCACTAGTGGTTTCAGCTGATCACTGCCATCAGTGGGACCTGAAGTGATCTTATGGTTTCTGGATTGGAAGGGTAAGATAGCAAGGTTTGTTGGTAAGAGTGGAGGAAGATACTTTTAGTGCCTTGTGGCCTGGAAGGAGCAGGTTTGGATAATCAGGATCTGTGCTACATTGGGAAAAGCTTTTGAACGCCTCTGAGCTAAAGCCCGTGCCAGGTGAGAGTTGGTGTGGTACCATCACTGGGCTCCTGTTGTGTCCCCGTGGGCGCTGGCCCCAGGCTCTGCCCGCCCACATCCTGGCTTCACTGGTGCTGGTGTTGGGTGGCGTGGGAGCATCACGGGTGGTGCCGCTGCAGTGCCCTCACGGCCGGCGGAGGACCCTTGTTTAGGTACTCCTCAACTAATGTGACTTGAACCGTCGGCAAATACAAACAATAACGCTTGCCGTTTTATGTTTTTTTCTGGCTTCTTGAGTCATCTGAATTTATGTAGCAATTAAAAATTCAGCAGAAATTTGTGAGTGCGGTAATGGTGTTCCTTAAACGTGCGTGTCTGATCTGGTTCAGGGGTGGGTGTTTCTGGAATGAAGGGAGCTCCTCTTATGTAAAAAGGAAGAAGGTGCAGCCTGGTTATGTTTTCATAACTCCTTTCACTACATGCCTGGGAAGCTTTTCCTTGGAAATCTGATGATTTAAAAAAAAACTGGAAAAAATAACTGCAAGTGGTTCTGATTTGAAGCTGGCTTGATTGCCGTGGGGCAAAGAGCTGCAGGAGGACGTGGGGCCACTCAAGATAACGAATGTCAAAAGCCTACACGAGTGACTGGGGTGCTGCATTTGAAGAAACTATTTTAAATGCCTTAGTGAAAAAAAAAACCCCTACAATGCCGTACTTAAAAGCTACAATACTGTACAAATATGTAGCAGCCTGGAGTGTGATCCAAGTGGATGTGCTGCAACCAGGGAAAACAGAGAGCTTGCTGGAGGAGACACCTGTGCAGTGGTCTCGTAAGCTGAGTCAACCTTTGCCTCTCGCAAAGCATCGATGCCTTTGCAGGCTGCTTTGCTGGATTTGATGAACTTTAAGGGGTTGTTAACGGTGGCAGTGCGAACACTTCAGAGTGCGGCACCCGTGAGCAGAGACCACAGCTCGGGTAGGACTAACCACAGAACAGCGGTGTTTGATGGAAACAGCAAAGCATTTTCTAAACGTTAAGGATGTGTTTTGTTCTAACCATGAAAGTACCCGCTGTCTCACTTCAGACAACTTCACATGGGTCGCGTTGTCCCGCAGTGCCTCAGGGTATCTTCTGGACGTTTTGTGGGTTTATTGGTTTTTGAAGGAAAACTCCTTTCACAGGTTTTCTTTCTAGCAAAATGTTCTATAGTAAAGGAAAACGCAGCACGTACTTTGTGCTGGGTCTGAACGCATCGCGGCTGGGGAAATGGGGTACGGCCAGCAGCTGCCTGCCCTACGGAGACCCCGCCGGTATTGAACAGAGACGTGTTAATTGGTCTGGCAATTAAACAATGGCGAGTATCAAGGTAAAAGGTCTAAAAGAAAAAAAGACACAAGTATAAAGATACGAATGGAGGTGTTCCACCAAGGGGAAGGCCATGGCAAGAGTGGGGTCCTCTGCTGTGCTGGCCTCTGCCCAGGTGGGAGCCGGGGGCTCGTGCCTCCCCGCAGCACCCACAGGTCGCGTCACGGAGGACAGCGTTTTGCGGGTGGGTGCACTCCGCTTTCTAGACCCTTTAGCTCACACCAACTCACAGTTTGGACAACGGGATGATGCGTGTAATTGTTTTAAAACAGGCTATCACAAACTGGGCTCTTCCCTTCATCTGTTATTTTCTGCTGACTGCTAGATCAACTCACAGTTTGGACAACGGGATGATGTGTGTAATTGTTTTAAAATAGGCTATCACAAACTGGGCTCTTCCGTTCATCTGTTATTTTCTGCTGACTGCTAGATGCTCTTAGGGATGGGTCTCAACCATGCTTCAGATGCGCAAGATAGACAGGAGACCCCAATTCCTTGGAAAAACAGAGGCGGGTCACCAGGTGATGGATGTTTTCTCCTCGGGGAGAGCCTGGGGCTGGGCCTCGGGTCACCGGCCAGCGGCGGAGTGCCTGCCCA